TCATTCTAGATGGTTGTGAGCCACCATGTGGTTGCTGGGAATTGAACTTGGGACTTTTGGAAGAGCAGCCAGTGCTCTTAACCTCCGAGCCATCTCTCCAGCCCTCAGCAAATCTTTTAAGGAAAGGAAGAGGCAGGTTTAAAACTCTTCCCCCAGGGGGGCGCTGGCTGGCTTCAGGAAGAAACTGCTAAGGATGGGAAAGGGGGGCAAACTGGGCCTGCCCCGTTTCTAAGAACACTGCCTCGACCTGGTTGCTGACTTTACAGACTGTTCAATTGATTGAAGAGCTAGGATTCCAGAAACACTTTCTGGGGCTGGAGAGATGGCTCAGAGGTTAAGAGCACTGATTGCTCTTCCAGGGGTCCTGAGTTCAATTCCCACCACCCACACGGTGGCTCACAGCCATCTTAATGAGATCTGGTGCCCTCTTCTGGTGTGCAGATATACATGGAAGCAGAATGTTGTATACATAATAAATAAAATCTTAAAAAAAGAAATACCTCCTGATGTGCTATCAATTAATACACATGTATGTGTGCATATATCATATATATACATCCTATACAAATATGATGTAGGATCTTGCTACATAGCCCAGGCTGGCCACAAATTCACAATTCTCTTGCCTTAGACGCCCAGGTGCTGGGATTACAAGCATGTGTCATTTTAGCTAGTTCAATATGTGGGGTTTTGGGTTTTTTTTTGTTGTTGTTGTTGTTTTGTTTTTTTGAGACAGGGTTTCTCTGTGGCTATGGAGGCTGTTCTGGAACTAGCTCTTGATCTGCCTGCCTCTTCCTCCCGAGTGCTGGGATTAAAGGTGTGGAGCAACATGCCCCGCTTAATTCAATGTTTTAAAAGATTTATTCGTGTGTATCTGAGTGAGTTTGTGTGCACCATGCAAGTACAGGTGCTCTTGGAGGCCAGAAGAGGTCGTTGGTCCCCTGGAACTGAACCTGAGCTCTCTGCAAACTCATTAAGAGATCTTAACCCTGGAGCCTTCTTTGCAGCTTCTAATTTGATTTTCTTTTTCTTTTTCTTCCTTGCTTTTTCTTTCTTTCTCTCTCCCTTCCTTCCTTCCTTTATTTTTTTCAGGACAGGGTTTCTCTGTGTAGTCCTCCTGGCATGGAAGTAGCTCTGTAGACCAGGCTGGGCTTGAACTTAGAGATTCACCAACCTCTGCCTCTTGAGTGTCCTCAATTTGGTACTTTTAATTGATTATAGAAACCTAACACACTATGTATGCCGGCCCTTGAAGGCCACCAGTTTGTGGAAGTCTTTCCTATTGAGGGCTAGGATGTGGCTTAGTTGGTAGAGTGTTTGTCTGCCATACATGAAACCTTGGCTCCCATTCCTAACGTTGCACAAACTCTAGGCATGGGGGTTTGCGCCTGTAATGCCAACACTAGAGAAGTAGACATAGAAGATTGGAAGTGCAAGGTCACCCTTAGCAAATAGTGAGCTTGTTTTTTGTTTTGCTTGTTTGTTTTGGGGGGTTGGCTGTATATGGGTATCCTGGAAAAGAAATCCATAGTAATAATCTAATTAAATGATTCTAAATTGACATTTTTATGTGTGTGTGTGTGTGCACATGCATGTACTACAGCACACAGGAAGAAGTCAGGTGACTGCTTTCTGGAGTTGGTTCTGGGGAAGGAACTCATGTGGTCTCAGGCTTTGGTTGCTAGTGCTTCATGCCCTGAGCTCTTTTGCTGGCCCGTACCTAAAGGATTTCTTTCCTTCTTTCTTTTTCAGTCAGGGTCTCACTGTGTAGCTCTGGCTAGCCTGGAACCCACTCTTGGTAGACGACGCTGGACTGGAACTCACAGAGATCCGCCTGCCTCTGCCTCCCAAGTGCTGGGATTAAAGGCGTGCACCACCACAGCTTGGCTATGTTTCTTTGGCTGTCCTTATGGTACTGGTGGTACTGGACTCTCAGTGGGGACTTGTCACCCCCTCACTGGCTTTTCTGGAAGTGAATGGACGCTCTGGTTGCAGGGTTGCCGTCCTCCAGGAAGTCCCTAGTCCCACTCCGCCCCAGGGCAGAGGTCTCCTCTCGGTGTCTCCATCTTAGCCAGGACCCTTCTCCCGAGCCTTCCAGGCTCAGTCACTTTGCGTTGTCTCTGGTCTGTCTCCCCACCAGACTACGGACCTAGGAGATGGGGACAGAATCGAAATGACTCTTCTTCCTCCTTCTCTCCCCTTCTCGTTACCACCTCCCCTTTTCTCTGTAGCCCATGGCTGGTCCGGAATTCCCTCTACAGCCCAGGTTAATGTCAAACTTTGGACCCTCCTGCCTCTGATGTCTGAGTGTAATTATAGGCAGGGGCCACACCGCTCAGCTTCTGTTTTATCATGGCCCAGCAGCCCCAGAACAGAAACCGAGCAATGGCTGTTTGTTTGTTACATAATAAAAAAAAAATCGATTCCAAGGTGTGCGCTATTATCCCCTAATTGGAGGGGACTGTCCAAATCGTGCAGTAGTGAAAAAAAGCCAGTAGGGATTTGAATCTGGGCAGCTTGACTCCCTATCCTGTGTTCTTATCCAACATGCCAAATGACTGGTGGGTTGAAAAGCAGCTTTCCACGAAACCGATGTCTGCCTGCTCAGCCTTTTCTTCTAGAAATCTCGGGGAGAGCATGCAGGCGGGTGGGGAGGGTAAGGACTGTGGGGACAAGGGACAGGCTCTGGAACCACCCAGACCCCGAGCTGATTTGAAGGTGGGGGGAGAAAGGAATATAAGGCAGGAGGAACCGAGAACTCAGATGTTGCCTCTGAGGATTTGTGGAGACAGGATTGCCATTTCAGATTGGTAGAGGTAAGATCTACTGGCTTGGCTACGTTGCTTCTCTGATGTTCAGTTTGAAGCTTGAACTCCAATATCTGTCTCTGGGTTACATACAATTAACGAGAAAAACTTGTAAAATAAAACAGAAGGAATGGCTGTTGTAGAATATTAGTTTAAGGGGTGTTATTTTTGTTTATGCTCTTGAACATTT